CGGGGGGTGTGGGGTGGGGTCGGGTGGGGGGGGGCTGTGGTGTTACAAATTTCTGCCCCTAAACACTTCAACACTCCTTTCAGATCGTGTTTCACAAAAGTAACATAAGAGTTTATGCATTAGTTTGAGTCTTGATTCAATAAATTGTAATAGCTTTCATCATATGTGACAACACGGTGTTTTCTCAAGTCAGACTTGCACAAATGATTCATTTAGTGTTAACACAGATTAACTCATTTTCTTCTCAGCAAATTAAAGATCAAAGCCCGAAAGAAGGTGTTAAACCAGATCATAACTTTGATGAATCGCCTTTCTTAAGTTATCATACACGAGACGATTAGGTGATAATTGAGAGGTTGATTGTTTGAATGTAGTACTTTTCTCGTCCTTTGTGGCACTTTGTGAGCTTTAATGAAATGTTCAACTCAGTGAAATCGGAAGGGAAGCAAAACAGACTTTACACGTATTGGATTGCCTAGCTGTCTGCCTTTTTCCTCGAAGATTTTTTCAGCGGCTCCAAGTTTTCCTTGAATTATGAAGATCAAATGATATTTTTCTTCCATCGCAATAAACTAGCACGAGCAATACTAAGTTCAGACAAATTTTTATCATAAGAGATGAATATATTATTTACTTCCTTATTGGCATTCTCGAGGGTTAAAAAAAAAGAATCAGTAGTAATAGTAGTAATTGATTCATTAGCCGCTGCTAATAATCATAATAAGGAACTGATGATTATTGTTCTGAATAGAGTGAACATTAATGCGTTGACCTAAGTATTTGACTACATAGTAAGCGGTCTATATTTCGCATTGGAAATTGCAATACGGGCAGCGTCGAACTTTGTTCAATCCTCCAACTGTTTCAAATTATGCCGTTCACGGTATCTAATTACTTCTAATGCTCATATTTACATATTAAAAGTAATGTTTCTGAGAGTAGAACAAGGTTTTGTAGACAAAATTATAGAAAAAGTGCTCTTTATTTACGCTCATAGTAGCACGAATACATGTACTAGCATGAGACTGACCACATGACTTATTTTTTCAATCGCGTTATAAAAAGAGGTCTGTTCATAAATTCTTGCTCTATTCTGAAAAATATTACATTGGATACGTGAATGCAAGCATTAGAAGTAACAAACGCTCTTCATCGCATGATCGAAACAGTTGGAGGAGTGAATAAAGTTTGATGCTACTCGTGCTGCTATGGTTTATGTGAAACAAAGACTACTCACTAAATGATCTAACACTTATGTCGCTTTATTAATGTTCTCTCTGTCCAGAACAATAATGATCAGCTTCATAGGATTCAAAATAGCAGTGACTGATGAATGAATTACTACTAATTCAAATTTTTTTGCTCTATAATTAGAACTACTGACTTCGCATTGTATTTTACATGTTCCCTCGACTGAGTGGAGGGTCATATGAAAAAAAAATAGGTGGTGGTCTTGTACGTTTGCACGGGGTCAAAAAACCATCAAGGTCAAAACAACATTCAGGATTAAACATCCAAGTTTCACCAAAGGTTTTCGGGGTCGAGGAATCGATTGGTACCATTGATTTTTGAAAATTTCAAAACAGATTTTTTTTTACTAAAAAAGGCTTTTTTTACGAAAATAATGATTTTTCATAAAGTTTGACTCAACGTTCGTGAGATTGGAGAACTCGGGTTCATCAATAATTTCTCAAGATCAGTGAACCCGAGGATCACAATGTGGGATGTCAATTCACTCAATAATGTACCACTCAGTCCACAAAATAATCCTTCTCACCTCAGAATAGAGCTAATCGCGGCTCGCAGAATCGATGCCTTATTTTTCATCAAGTATTTTTCAACGATATTCAAGTCCAAATCGTTTTTGTTTGAGATTATCGAGAAAACCAACACGATGATCAGTTATATTAATTTAAAAGCAAAGCTGCGTAAAAGTATATTATTTTTGTTCCCTCTACTTTAGGGAGGGGCATGTGAAGAGAAGTGAAAAAAGTTCGTCCGTCTGTCTATTTATGACAAGGTCAAAAGAACATCAAAGATGAATTTTTTATAACGATTGACGAAAGTAA